GTAAGGTTTTGAATTAACTCCTAGGAGATACATTTGTATTCTCTAAAAAAAACTCTATTTTTGAAGAAATTCTTGTAAAGTGAAGCCTTTTTTCACTCGAACTCTGCACATTCTATAGGACGTAAATTAAAAAAAAAAAATCCATTTATTTTAATGTTGATTTTAGCGTTTATCAAAAAACTTGTTACCAATTTTTTTCAACTCTAATTGCGATTTTGTTGCTTAATTTTCCTGATGTTATTTTCTAGTTTGAAAAAATTAATTGAAAGATACAACAGAAAATTTTTATTTATTACAAAAGTTTGAGATAATTTTGTTCATATAAGGGATATTGTTGAGTATTCGAATGCAAAAATTAATCAAGTATGATTTAAAACATCTCTTTCGCGTGTTAAGTATACTCAATGAGTTAATAGGACGTATGTTCTCAGAATTTGATTGAATGAACCCAATTTAATGCCTTTTCTAAGTTACATTTGAAATCACGACTTATTAAATATTATAGTAACTTTCTGATATAAAAAAAGATTTCGTGCATATTATGCATTAACCTATAAGCTAGTTGGGTTGAAAGCTGTCCGTAATATTTTTCACGACAGTTCCTTCCCTCAAAAAAACAGTTTAACTACACGCACTTAAATAAGTTAGTATTTATCAATTTCGTTTATTTGAAATGGGGAGAAAGGAGGAAGAAATTAAGTTATTTTGCATTTTAGAGGATTACGAAACTTTAAAAATACGTTATCGTGATTGTACGTAATTATGTTCTGCAAATCCCTTATTCGCGAAAATCTGTTTTCCACGTTCCTGAATGAAACTATGACTGAAACGAAGCAGAAAAATTAGTGAATATTATGTTTTGTATTTTTTCCTTCAGTACACCCCTTTCACTCATGAATAATTATTTTGTATTATTCTTTTAGTTCCCGTTATTTAATCAGTCTCACAAATATTTTGTTCCTTTTAAAAAATCGCTGCAGTGGTTTATTATTTCCAAATTGTTATATATCAAATGTAACACTACATTCCTTCTAACTTAGGGAAAATAAATAAAAGGTGTCCGCTAATATATTAAGATTTATCATGTGTTTGTAATTTGTTAAGAAATATTGCCAGCAATTTCGATTTAGTTGAAGACTTTTCAAGAATCGAAAACCAAAAATAAGGGGATCAGCTTTGGAATGGAACATGTGGTGGATATTTAAACTCTATATCTTAGCACTAAATCGTCCAATTTCGACGACTTTTTTTTTTTTTGTTAGAACATTTCTTAAAGTTTTAAATGGGCATCTTCAACACCAACAAAAAAGTATATACATTCAAAGTTATTCGGAAATCTTATTTTCGCATCCCTCGTAAATTTTTCCTACTTTATTTCGGTGAAGTATGTTATATACTTAATAGGTGTCGAATAAAATATTTAAGCCAAACTAAAGTTTTATTGAAATCTATATTTCTGTTTAGGTGTTTGGTAATGTCGAAGGATCGTCCTCGGGTGGCATTTGACATAACTAGGAGAAAAGACACGAACCGATTTTATTTTTCAGATTCTATCTAAATTTGATCTGAAATTTTGGGATTAGTACGTTTCTTTTTGTTTCTTTGTAATTGAAAATAATAATTCAAGAAGAGTTTACTCACTTATGTTGGTCTAGAGGCCAAGATGTACTTGGGCCTCTCCAACCGTTTCCCTTCCCCCATTCCTCTCTATCCTGGGAGTTTCATCTCCAGTCAGTTACTTCAATTTCCCAGAGATCCTTCTCCAGGACCATTTGTCTCTTTTTACTTAGGCGTCCACTCTTCTTTTTTCCTAGGAGGGATTCTCTTGTGACCTTCTTCGTCATTCGTTCATTGGGTAACCTATCAACATGAAAATATCAAAAAAAAATCATTAAACTAACATTTATTCACTGATCCGCGATGCCCTATCAATACGATTCTATACTGAAAAATAAATGTTTGTTGATAAAGAAGTAGGTCTAATCTAATTACATTTGGATAAGAGCTGATGATTAGTCAGCAACCAAACACATCTAGATTTTTATTGTGTGATATGTAAACCAAAAGGGTAAATGACCTCAGCAATGATTAAATTTTAACGTATTAAATTCTATGAATAATGTGATAATTGTAATCTGCAGTTTAATCTTGCCAACCGGAAGCCAACATGCAAAACGTTTATTTGTTAATATCGATTTCAAACTTTTTTATGGAGCATGGTAATACTATTTTTTACAAGCACTTATTTCATCTGAAATATGTACTCCAGGAAGAATTGGCCTAAAAGTAATTTAATGTCACAATTTTAAAACATTAAGGGTAAGTAATGACGTCGGGGTAATACTCAAGTAAATAACAATAACTACGAAATAGGGTTAGGAATTATTATTACAGATCTAAAGTAGTCGATTTCTTATTTAAAATGCTCATATCATGTTAAATGCAATTCGTCTCTCTCGGGCTATAATATTTTTCTATTATATTATAAAAAATGTCCATAGAAAATGACTAAACAAAAAATAGCTAAACTTGCAGAAATGGCGTACGGCTGGGCAAAGGTGAAAAAAACCTTGGAAGTACAATTTTTAATATTAAAATGCTGTAGATTAGAGGTAAAAAGTCATTAAGAGGAGGAAAGGGGATTTTCAACAAACAATAAATGTTAACAGTAGAGTATTTTTCATAGTTCTGAAAATTGCTTTCAGTTTGAGGTTTGAACTTTTTTTTCATCATATTAGCCGATAAGATTCTTAAAATTGAAGAATTTCAAATTTATCAATACCACTGCCCAACAAACGAGTTAAATGACTGATTTAATTGGATTTTAAAATGTATAAAATTAAGGGAGAAAAAAATGTTGTAATATTTTTCATTTTTTAGACTAACTTGGTCTACGAAAGAAAACTCTGCGTTCCTTAGATCTATATTTATTATTATCTGATATTTAATATAATTGCGATATTAATTATCTAAATGTCTGTACTGTACTCCACTATATTTGGTTTCTGCTTTGTATGGAAGTTTATAAATGTAGTAGTGATGAATGTTACGAATAGATGAAATATTGCTTGATTTTTTTTTTCATTTCACCTCTCAGTTCTTTGTTGTATTAGACTTTTTAGCCAAGGACAGGGATTTTAGATTTGTTTAAGAGTGTTTGGACAGAGGTTCATACAAATAAACTTTATACATAATGAAATGGATTCGTTCTCTCGTTTGATAGTTTTCTTAATTTATCTTCAAGCTCCCTGATGTCAAAGTGAAGATTTTCTTTCTTCTTCTTCGCCAGATACAGCCGACTCTTTTGTGGCCTTGGGCCATCATTTGATGAAAAAAGAACGTTTTATAATGGCTATGCTATCAGAAAGCTCTTTCAGGAACTCATTTATTTTTTCCTCCAACTCCATGTTTTTATGAAGAGAGGGTTGAAACTGTATTGAATCTTGAAAAAATTGAGAAAAAAAAAATCAAGTAGCTTGATTGAATAGTCGAGTACTGCACTGATTGTTTACGACATAATGTGTCATTTCAAGTGATACCCCTTTAAATTATCAAATATTCTTACTAAAACATTTAGTTTTCCGTAGTATTTTTGAAGGAATATTTATCATCTAAACAAAGGGGCTTTATTATAGGATGGTCTCGAATTAAATACAGTTGTGTAGGATGAAGCAAGTGTATCGGAAGTTGCGATGATTCCGGTATTTTAGATGTCTACAAATATAAGAGAAACAAAATTCAAGAACCGTAGAGTTACAGGTTTCAGAAGAAGATGGTCTGGGTTGCGGTCAATAAACCGGAACTACTTATTGTAGTAACAATGTTACGTTGGCCTACGTTGTAGTTCTTTCATCTAGGCATTTTGTCCAGGAGCTGGGTTGCCCAGCAAGTTTACGAGTCCACGTCCCGTTGTCGGTGGCTTTTAACTCAGCCATAAATCCGTCGCCCTCTCCTCCCTTCTCCTGAGAAAAACACGATTAACCAAAGAGGTAAATTAGAGAAGAAAAAAAAATATTGTAATAAAGACCTACAACCTACTACAAGACACAATGTGTTTATTGACCGTAACCCCTACAAACATATTCTTAAATTAAAACTAGATCAATTATTTCTATATCATTATGAAAATAATTATAAATTGAAAATTCCAAAAATTATTGAGGTTGCGGTCAATAAACACATTTTGTCTTGTAGTAGGTTGTTGGTCTTTATCACAATATTTTGTTTTCTTCTCTAATTTACCTCTTTGGTTAACCGTGTTTTTCTCAGGAGAAGGGAGGAGATGTTTCCCATGGAGAGGTTGATCCAAAGAAAGATCTTAAAATAATGTATTTTGTACCAATAGCAGATTCCTGATTTAATTTTGGGTTCTTTTTTTTCATCATTAATAGCAGTTAATCATTCTGAACGGAAATGAAAGAAATTATGAAATTATGTTTAAATGGTTCATATAGGTCTTTTAAAAAAGGATTAAGGAAGTAATAATGTCTTCAGGGCTATTTGTTTCCTTACTAACATCTTACTGTACAAGTGCACTTACATTTTGTTCAGTGCATGTCAACATTAAATACACTAAAAATATAATTAAAATTTATATTTACAGGTTTACAGGGTGAAAAACTCCGATGGTTATCAACTCACATTTTCTTGGATTTACCGCAAACTTGAAAAAATTTTAAATATATTTATAAAATTCCCTCTCTTTAAAAAAAAAAATGGTTAATTTGTTCTGGTAACTGCAGTCCTCACTTAGAGTTTTAAACAGTTACGTAGAAGGGATTGTTGTGTTAGGTTCTTTAAGTGGTGTTGAGGTATGATACAGGGTAGGTTGAAGGGAGGTATGGTACAAATTTTCTTTAGCTTCTTTAATGTTTGCCAAACTTTACGATTATCGTAAGGAACATGAAAAGAGTTAGAAAATAGGAATGCAGATATTCATACAGATTACCAACGAATATGGTCGAGTGGGCTGGCCGTGTTTTAAGGATTGAGGTAGAACGATGTGTCGGATCCAAGTTGTCGGCAGGTCCTGGAATGAGGCGATGAAGAGTCAGGCCAAAGCGGGCAAACAACGGGTCTCCAATTGGCAACCGGTAGTCGTAGATATGGAGGAAGATGTTCGCTCTTTATGTCTTAAAAAAAAAAGTGAAACCTCTTCTGATTTCTCGTTGCCCTCATTTACTAATTAGCGAGTTTATGTGTTGAATTATCATCTAAATTGTTAATCGATAGGTCAACTGGCCGTACAACGCGAGCTCCTTGTGGGAAACATTAAATTAACTTCTCCATGCTTTATTTAGATTTTTGAAGCTTTATAAAGTAAATAAATGTATAAAAAAGGTGAAACTTCTTCCACATCTGATTTCCTGATAACCCTCGGCCATTAAATACGGAGCTTCCTGTTATATTTTGAAGTGCCATCTAAATTGTACATCGATATGGCAGTGGACCTCAGGCCTAATTGGACTGCCTTCTAGGGGAAAAATAAATTATACTATTCATAGGATATTAATTAAGTCATTTATGAAGTTGAAAAAATAATCATACGTAACTAATGGATGACTAATTTTAATATTTTTTGTAGTCTGTAGTGATAGTAATATTAATCCTTTATTTGCATTTATATAACAAGCCGAAAAATAAAATACTTTTTAGATATTTATGGACAGGCAGCAGGCAAGGAGAATATTTATCCCGATAATTAACTGCGATAGGTCTATATTATCGGGCTTTCAATTGTTCAGCATTTGTTTACCATGAGTAACGAGGGAATGATTTTCATATTTTTTTTCATATTTCATATATATATATATATACACACACACACATATATGTGTGTGTGTGTGTATCTATCATTCTATGTAAAACACTGCTATTAACGATGCACAATTTAGAAGGCACTTCAGCTTAAACCTTAATGAATGATTTTCATATTTTTTTTCTCTTAACTGGGGCGCTGCTAAATAGTATATTTGGTTTTGTAATTACTCATTGTCAGTAATCTCTAAGAGTCATTCACTTCCAAAACAGTCAGCTCACAATAATCATTAACTAACTATCTGAACTTATGGCATTTAACATATTTCCTCTAAACATCTACTTAAGGTTTAAGCTGAAGTGCCTTCTAAATTGTGCATCGTTAATAGCAGTGTTTTACATAGAATGATAGATACACACACACACACACACACACATATATGTGTGTGTGTGTATATATATATATATATGAAATATGAAAAAAAATATGAAAATCATTCCCTCGTTACTCATGGTAAACAAATGCTGAACAATTGAAAGCCCGATAATATAGACCTATCGCAGTTAATTATCGGGATAAATATTCTCCTTGCCTGCTGCCTGTCCATAAATATCTAAAAAGTATTTTATTTTTCGGCTTGTTATATAAATGCAAATAAAGGATTAATATTACTATCACTACAGACTACAAAAAATATTAAAATTAGTCATCCATTAGTTACGTATGATTATTTTTTCAACTTCATAAATGACTTAATTAATATCCTATGAATAGTATAATTTATTTTTCCCCTAGAAGGCAGTCCAATTAGGCCTGAGGTCCACTGCCATATCGATGTACAATTTAGATGGCACTTCAAAATATAACAGGAAGCTCCGTATTTAATGGCCGAGGGTTATCAGGAAATCAGATGTGGAAGAAGTTTCACCTTTTTTATACATTTATTTACTTTATAAAGCTTCAAAAATCTAAATAAAGCATGGAGAAGTTAATTTAATGTTTCCCACAAGGAGCTCGCGTTGTACGGCCAGTTGACCTATCGATTAACAATTTAGATGATAATTCAACACATAAACTCGCTAATTAGTAAATGAGGGCAACGAGAAATCAGAAGAGGTTTCACTTTTTTTTTTAAGACATAAAGAGCGAACATCTTCCTCCATATCTACGACTACCGGTTGCCAATTGGAGACCCGTTGTTTGCCCGCTTTGGCCTGACTCTTCATCGCCTCATTCCAGGACCTGCCGACAACTTGGATCCGACACATCGTTCTACCTCAATCCTTAAAACACGGCCAGCCCACTCGACCATATTCGTTGGTAATCTGTATGAATATCTGCATTCCTATTTTCTAACTCTTTTCATGTTCCTTACGATAATCGTAAAGTTTGGCAAACATTAAAGAAGCTAAAGAAAATTTGTACCATACCTCCCTTCAACCTACCCTGTATCATACCTCAACACCACTTAAAGAACCTAACACAACAATCCCTTCTACGTAACTGTTTAAAACTCTAAGTGAGGACTGCAGTTACCAGAACAAATTAACCATTTTTTTTTTTAAAGAGAGGGAATTTTATAAATATATTTAAAATTTTTTCAAGTTTGCGGTAAATCCAAGAAAATGTGAGTTGATAACCATCGGAGTTTTTCACCCTGTAAACCTGTAAATATAAATTTTAATTATATTTTTAGTGTATTTAATGTTGACATGCACTGAACAAAATGTAAGTGCACTTGTACAGTAAGATGTTAGTAAGGAAACAAATAGCCCTGAAGACATTATTACTTCCTTAATCCTTTTTTAAAAGACCTATATGAACCATTTAAACATAATTTCATAATTTCTTTCATTTCCGTTCAGAATGATTAACTGCTATTAATGATGAAAAAAAAGAACCCAAAATTAAATCAGGAATCTGCTATTGGTACAAAATACATTATTTTAAGATCTTTCTTTGGATCAACCTCTCCATGGGAAACATCTCCTCCCTTCTCCTGAGAAAAACACGGTTAACCAAAGAGGTAAATTAGAGAAGAAAACAAAATATTGTGATAAAGACCAACAACCTACTACAAGACAAAATGTGTTTATTGACCGCAACCTCAATAATTTTTGGAATTTTCAATTTATAATTATTTTCATAATGATATAGAAATAATTGATCTAGTTTTAATTTAAGAATATGTTTGTAGGGGTTACGGTCAATAAACACATTGTGTCTTGTAGTAGGTTGTAGGTCTTTATTACAATATTTTTTTTTCTTCTCTAATTTACCTCTTTGGTTAATCGTGTTTTTCTCAGGAGAAGGGAGGAGAGGGCGACGGATTTATGGCTGAGTTAAAAGCCACCGACAACGGGACGTGGACTCGTAAACTTGCTGGGCAACCCAGCTCCTGGACAAAATGCCTAGATGAAAGAACTACAACGTAGGCCAACGTAACATTGTTACTACAATAAGTAGTTCCGGTTTATTGACCGCAACCCAGACCATCTTCTTCTGAAACCTGTAACTCTACGGTTCTTGAATTTTGTTTCTCTTATATTTGTAGACATCTAAAATACCGGAATCATCGCAACTTCCGATACACTTGCTTCATCCTACACAACTGTATTTAATTCGAGACCATCCTATAATAAAGCCCCTTTGTTTAGATGATAAATATTCCTTCAAAAATACTACGGAAAACTAAATGTTTTAGTAAGAATATTTGATAATTTAAAGGGGTATCACTTGAAATGACACATTATGTCGTAAACAATCAGTGCAGTACTCGACTATTCAATCAAGCTACTTGATTTTTTTTTTCTCAATTTTTTCAAGATTCAATACAGTTTCAACCCTCTCTTCATAAAAACATGGAGTTGGAGGAAAAAATAAATGAGTTCCTGAAAGAGCTTTCTGATAGCATAGCCATTATAAAACGTTCTTTTTTCATCAAATGATGGCCCAAGGCCACAAAAGAGTCGGCTGTATCTGGCGAAGAAGAAGAAAGAAAATCTTCACTTTGACATCAGGGAGCTTGAAGATAAATTAAGAAAACTATCAAACGAGAGAACGAATCCATTTCATTATGTATAAAGTTTATTTGTATGAACCTCTGTCCAAACACTCTTAAACAAATCTAAAATCCCTGTCCTTGGCTAAAAAGTCTAATACAACAAAGAACTGAGAGGTGAAATGAAAAAAAAAATCAAGCAATATTTCATCTATTCGTAACATTCATCACTACTACATTTATAAACTTCCATACAAAGCAGAAACCAAATATAGTGGAGTACAGTACAGACATTTAGATAATTAATATCGCAATTATATTAAATATCAGATAATAATAAATATAGATCTAAGGAACGCAGAGTTTTCTTTCGTAGACCAAGTTAGTCTAAAAAATGAAAAATATTACAACATTTTTTTCTCCCTTAATTTTATACATTTTAAAATCCAATTAAATCAGTCATTTAACTCGTTTGTTGGGCAGTGGTATTGATAAATTTGAAATTCTTCAATTTTAAGAATCTTATCGGCTAATATGATGAAAAAAAAGTTCAAACCTCAAACTGAAAGCAATTTTCAGAACTATGAAAAATACTCTACTGTTAACATTTATTGTTTGTTGAAAATCCCCTTTCCTCCTCTTAATGACTTTTTACCTCTAATCTACAGCATTTTAATATTAAAAATTGTACTTCCAAGGTTTTTTTCACCTTTGCCCAGCCGTACGCCATTTCTGCAAGTTTAGCTATTTTTTGTTTAGTCATTTTCTATGGACATTTTTTATAATATAATAGAAAAATATTATAGCCCGAGAGAGACGAATTGCATTTAACATGATATGAGCATTTTAAATAAGAAATCGACTACTTTAGATCTGTAATAATAATTCCTAACCCTATTTCGTAGTTATTGTTATTTACTTGAGTATTACCCCGACGTCATTACTTACCCTTAATGTTTTAAAATTGTGACATTAAATTACTTTTAGGCCAATTCTTCCTGGAGTACATATTTCAGATGAAATAAGTGCTTGTAAAAAATAGTATTACCATGCTCCATAAAAAAGTTTGAAATCGATATTAACAAATAAACGTTTTGCATGTTGGCTTCCGGTTGGCAAGATTAAACTGCAGATTACAATTATCACATTATTCATAGAATTTAATACGTTAAAATTTAATCATTGCTGAGGTCATTTACCCTTTTGGTTTACATATCACACAATAAAAATCTAGATGTGTTTGGTTGCTGACTAATCATCAGCTCTTATCCAAATGTAATTAGATTAGACCTACTTCTTTATCAACAAACATTTATTTTTCAGTATAGAATCGTATTGATAGGGCATCGCGGATCAGTGAATAAATGTTAGTTTAATGATTTTTTTTTGATATTTTCATGTTGATAGGTTACCCAATGAACGAATGACGAAGAAGGTCACAAGAGAATCCCTCCTAGGAAAAAAGAAGAGTGGACGCCTAAGTAAAAAGAGACAAATGGTCCTGGAGAAGGATCTCTGGGAAATTGAAGTAACTGACTGGAGATGAAACTCCCAGGATAGAGAGGAATGGGGGAAGGGAAACGGTTGGAGAGGCCCAAGTACATCTTGGCCTCTAGACCAACATAAGTGAGTAAACTCTTCTTGAATTATTATTTTCAATTACAAAGAAACAAAAAGAAACGTACTAATCCCAAAATTTCAGATCAAATTTAGATAGAATCTGAAAAATAAAATCGGTTCGTGTCTTTTCTCCTAGTTATGTCAAATGCCACCCGAGGACGATCCTTCGACATTACCAAACACCTAAACAGAAATATAGATTTCAATAAAACTTTAGTTTGGCTTAAATATTTTATTCGACACCTATTAAGTATATAACATACTTCACCGAAATAAAGTAGGAAAAATTTACGAGGGATGCGAAAATAAGATTTCCGAATAACTTTGAATGTATATACTTTTTTGTTGGTGTTGAAGATGCCCATTTAAAACTTTAAGAAATGTTCTAACAAAAAAAAAAAAAGTCGTCGAAATTGGACGATTTAGTGCTAAGATATAGAGTTTAAATATCCACCACATGTTCCATTCCAAAGCTGATCCCCTTATTTTTGGTTTTCGATTCTTGAAAAGTCTTCAACTAAATCGAAATTGCTGGCAATATTTCTTAACAAATTACAAACACATGATAAATCTTAATATATTAGCGGACACCTTTTATTTATTTTCCCTAAGTTAGAAGGAATGTAGTGTTACATTTGATATATAACAATTTGGAAATAATAAACCACTGCAGCGATTTTTTAAAAGGAACAAAATATTTGTGAGACTGATTAAATAACGGGAACTAAAAGAATAATACAAAATAATTATTCATGAGTGAAAGGGGTGTACTGAAGGAAAAAATACAAAACATAATATTCACTAATTTTTCTGCTTCGTTTCAGTCATAGTTTCATTCAGGAACGTGGAAAACAGATTTTCTCGAATAAGGGATTTGCAGAACATAATTACGTACAATCACGATAACGTATTTTTAAAGTTTCGTAATCCTCTAAAATGCAAAATAACTTAATTTCTTCCTCCTTTCTCTCCATTTCAAATAAACGAAATTGATAAATACTAACTTATTTAAGTGCGTGTAGTTAAACTGTTTTTTGAGGTAAGGAACTGTCGTGAAAAATATTACGGACAGCTTTCAACCCAACTAGCTTATAGGTTAATGCATAATATGCACGAAATCTTTTTTTATATCAGAAAGTTACTGTAATATTTAATAAGTCGTGATTTCAAATGTAACTTAGAAAAGGCATTAAATTGGGTTCATTCAATCAAATTCTGAGAACATACGTCCTATTAACTCATTGAGTATACTTAACACGCGAAAGAGATGTTTTAAATCATACTTGATTAATTTTTGCATTCGAATACTCAACAATATCCCTTATATGAACAAAATTATCTCAAACTTTTGTAATAAATAAAAATTTTCTGTTGTATCTTTCAATTAATTTTTTCAAACTAGAAAATAACATCAGGAAAATTAAGCAACAAAATTGTAATTAGAGTTGAAAAAAATTGTATCTTTCAATTAATTTTTTCAAACTAGAAAATAATATTTCCTCTAAACATCTACTTAAGGTTTAAGCTGAAGTGCCTTCTAAATTGTGCATCGTTAATAGCAGTGTTTTACATAGAATGATAGATACACACACACACACACACACACACATATATGTGTGTGTGTGTATATATATATATATATATATATATATATATATATATATAAGAGATTTATAATAAAGGCGCAATAACAAAGAAAACTAAGGAAGAGTCATTTTTATGAGTACAAAAGATAAATCAGAGCATCTTGATCCATTAAAGGTCACTGACCCAGAAATTCTGATTTTATGAATTTGGATATTTCTTCATGCATATATATATATATATATATATATATATATATATATATATATATATATATATATATATATATATATCACATTTTATAAACGTAACACCTAAGATGCATAAGTATTAAGTAATAGAATTCATCAAGACAAAAAGTTCTTAAATAAATATGTTGAAAGGATCCAGAGTTCTTATTACATTGGCATAATGTTATCCAAAAACTAATATTCTATACGGATGTAGAGATGGTTGACCGTTGATATGATATGAGAAGGAGTTAGTTGAGGGTGCAGTCAAATAAATAAAAAAAAATTAAAATATATAAATAATTTTAATTTTTGCCGACGTTTCGACCCACTTTGCAGGTCGTCTTCAGGACTACAAAAGATACAAACATGTTGAAAAAATAAAAATAAATATAAGTATATATAAATCACGAAGAAGTTGTCAGATGCAGAAATAAAAGATAAATAAAATAAAATAAATACATGATAAGAAAATAGATAAAAGAAAATAAATACATGAATGTTAACGAATAAATGAATGTTAACGAATAAATAGATTGAAAATTGAATAACTATTGTTACAGTTAAGTTAAAATATGGATAAGATAATATATATAAGATACATCCATATTTTAACTTTACTGTAACAATAGTTATTCAATTTTCAATCTATTTATTCGTTAACATTCATTTATTCGTTAACATTCATGTATTTATTTTCTTTTATCTATTTTCTTATCATGTATTTATTTTATTTTATTTATCTTTTATTTCTGTATCTGACAACTTCTTCGTGATTTATATATACTTATATTTATTTTTTATTTTATTTTTATTTTATTTTTATTTTTTCAACATGTTTGTATCTTTTGTAGCCCTGAAGACGACCTGCAAAGTGGGTCGAAACGTCGGCAAAAATTAAAATTATTTATATATTTTAATTTTTTTTTATTTATTTGACCGCACCCTCAACTAACTCCTTCTCATAATATTCTATACAATGGCAGAATATATCCCACTATTAAGATATAGGAGATCATCATGTGGAATTTAAAAGCGGGTAAAAACCGCATGAAGTGGTAAACATCTATTCCAAAGAAAGGTTAAAGAAGATCTACATTTCTACTCCGTTCATCATTTTTTATACTGTTAGATATTATTTTAGATTTCGAGATATCGTTGACTGTTAAAATTATATCGATGATAAATAGTCAGAAAATACAGAATTTAATTGTGTCTATTAAGTTTATTACGGTAGATGTTATTAAGTAGAGAAAACCCTTCATTGTACGACGATGGTAAAAAAGTAAGCAAGGAAACGCAAAAATCCTGATATGAAGTACTAAAACATATGGAGGGGTATTTTCAAATTTAAGTCAGAAGTGAGCTTGAAGAAGGATGATCTTTTGCTCATAGAATATAAAAAATAATGAACTCAAGGAAAGAAATGTTGGGTATTTGTTGTAATAAAACATGAAGACCATAGATATGCTAATAACACAACAGAAAAAATCACGATAAAATAAAAAAAAAAAAACATTTATCCAAAAATATACCAGACGGAAAGTCAGCTGAAAAGAAAACACTTATTAAAATTATACTAAATTGCTTTGAAAATAAATTGCACAAATCGTAGGCGTAATTAATTTTAACTAACTAATCTTAACGTTGCACATTCGTTACTTAAACATGTTGCTGACGAAATGATCAACTGAGATAAACCAAAGTCAAGCATGTGCGAGTTTTAATCTTATATTTCCGCTCTAACAAACATTCTTGGATCAAAGTGAAAAGCAATGGACAGAGAAGAACAGGTTTTTTTGGTTAAAGTTGGAAAAATGCAAAAGATATGCAAAGAAGAAAAAAAAACCTGAACATCATCGGGAAATATTTGAGGATTGAGAGCGTTGTTTGCTCTGAATCAACTCTTTATCATATTTTCCTTTTAAAAATCAGCACCCAGACATTTGACACATAAGACAGGAGGTGAAGAATGATGGACTAGGCGTGGCCCTGACCTTAGTGAGGCGTGGAGCCTTCGCTCGTTCGGGTGAACTCTAGAGCCACGATCCGTGGTTTTGCTCCCTCTTCTTTGACCTGTTCATTTTCATTAATGCAAAAAAAAAATAAGAAAAAGAAATATTTTACCATATTATTATTATTATGTTAGCTTTTCACCAATAAATAAATAAATCGACGTAAAAGGTTAAAATTTACAATTTTCCATATTAACAGTATGAACATATAATAAATATAGAGAATATTAATCAGGATGCCTTGGAACTTTAATTCTTAGTACCAAAGTAGAACGAATACTTGTCACAGTTATTTTGCACTTTTTCAATTTTTTTTTTTTTTTATGAGTATATAATAAAGATAATAGACCACGAGGGAACCAAAGAGACAGACTCTTGTCGCTTGAGTCCATAATTAAATTTCAAAACTAAATTTATGATACCGCCGACCTCAATAAATTTTAATCAAGGAAACGGGATCCCATCCTTGCCGAAAAATCTGACCTGCGCCAACTTTGTAGTTCGAATTTATGATCACATTCAATATTGAATGAAAGTTAGTTTCAGATTTTACAACCATATCTACCTTCGCTCAGTTACGTATTTTGGCTGACCTTGTGGTTTTGGGTTTTGGCAATGTGTCTGTTCCTTTGGATATATGCCTGGCAGTTGTTGGGGTCATCGGCAGACCGAAACGTGGGTATAATAATTAATATTGTTGTAGATGTGTGGTTTTATATATGGGGTGTGTTTCACTCCTCGAAATAGCCGTTTTGGTTGATTATTTACATCAACGAATTCTTGTAAAAAAAAAAAAAAAGAAGAATAAAATAAAGAAAAAGAATAAATCTCACCTTCCAAAACCTTAAAGTTTTTTAATTTACAGTCATTCTAGGATGATTCTCAAAAAATGGCAGCTGAATAGAGATTTCATATATAGGCCATTTATAAAGAAGAACAACAATTAAATTTTGGTTCCTTATTTTTATATAAAACCATTATAATCGACCAACAAAATTTAATAAGCTATTTAAAACGTAATTAAATTATCTAAAAAAAAAGATCACTTAAATCAGATATATATCGGATATTGTTTCAAAAATTATTCAGTCCATTTT